AAGAGAAATAATGAGGGAGATCACAGAACTTTTTCACTTTAGAATTGCTCGAAAGCAAAACAGACTTCCTCAGTGAGGAATGAATGTCCTTCCCGGAGCTGTTCAAGCCAAGGCTGCCCAACACATGCCAGAGGGTCTGAGACGGAAGGCTGCACTGGACACCCTGCAGGGCCCATTCCACGCAGAGAACCCTTTCCTAAATTCATTTGCTGTCTTATTAGAAAATGGAACACTGAACAAAGTAACGTACAGTCTGTACAGGTGCACTGCTTATGGGGTACACATAGCACAAGAAGAGAAGAGGGTCAAGGAGGAAACCTGGAGAAACCCTGTCATTTAGGTACAAGGGAGCATGAAGACCTGACAGAGAAAGGGCAGTCAGAAGTAAAAAGAAACATCAAGACGTTTTGTGTCACAGACACCAACAGGAGAGAAAGTTTCCAAAAATTCCATTTCAAATGCAGCAGAGTTAAAGTATTGTAAGAACTTTTAAATGCCCATTGGATTGACCTGAGAAATTCTGCAGTTGCAGGGCTAGCAGAGTGGGGGCAGTGGCTCATGTTCATAAAATGCCTCCAAGTCAAATGAAGGCAGTATCTCCAGATGGGATTATACATATGCCGAAACTATATCATTAGGATTATGTTAAAAGCTTTAGTTTGATAAGCATAGCATTTAAATTATCCTACAATTGTTGAACCCCTTTTTGGCAATTCTTTATGATTTTTATCTTTTCGATTTATTTTTACCTTTATGATTTATGATTTTTTAATATAAACAGAAAAAGAAAACTAAGTAGCCCAGGCTATTGACAGCCTTGGGGAGGTCTGAGGTTTCAGCAAAGTGGTGGGTATGAAGTCAGCAAATTTAACTCCTAAAAAAAAAAACTGTGACTATATGAAATTTTTTATTTAAAAAGACAGCACGCTGTATTTGAAGGGGGCACCTCCAGTTAGACAACGAGGATTGCACTCGAACATTTATCTGCCCTCCCTCCTTAATCCTCACTAAATAAAAAGAGCACAAAGTTCACAAGGGCACTATGAACAAGAGTGGAGACAACAGCAGAAGAGAAATGCCAAAAAAACTGGAGCAAATGGAAAGAGGACGGAAAGGCAGTTAGTGATTTAGCAAAACAGAGAAAGCTGAAAGCTAAGTAACGCTAGGAAGAGGAAGGCACGGAGGGAGGCAGTTCCTACCACAGAACCCAGGAGCTATGGTTTAAATGTCTGTGTCCCTCCAAAGTCCACGTTAAAATTTAACCCCCAATGCAATAGTATTAAGAGGTGGGGGCTTTAGGAGGTGATTAGGTCATGAGGGTTCCACCCTCATGGATGGGATTGGTGCCCTTATAAAAGGGCTGGAGGGAGCCTGTTTGGCCCTCTTGCCCTTGTGCCATGTGAGGACACAGCAGCACAGCGCCATCTGTGCAGCAGACAGCAGCCCTCGCCAAACACAGAATCCACCAGCACTTTGATCTTGGACTTCCCAGCCTCCAGAACGGTGAGCAACAAATTTATATTATTTATAAATTACCCAGTCTAAGGTATTTTGTTATAGTAGCACCACTAAGACACCAAGAAAGTCTCAGGAGGTGGAAGCATCAGATACTTCTGAATGTGGAGGTACAGAGTAAGAAACTGAGAACAGAAAAAGGGATTTAAATTCTTTAAAAGCAGTTAAACATCCCGATCCCAACCCCCATGGTAAGGCAGCTACCTTTACCCTTCCTGGCAGAGGATGAAGGGAATGTACATTGACACACCAAATGGTGACACTCTCCTGTCTATGGCCACCAACCAGAATGCTGGCAGCTAGGTGTAGCCATGCCTCCCCCAAATCCAAAACAAAACAGGAGATGGGCAAATTCCAGAGGAATTACTATAACCTACAAAGACTCCTCCTAACAACATGGCCAGGCCCTTGCCTGATCACATTACTGTGAAGTCCAACAGACCTCAAGCCCTGCCCATGTGCACAGAACTTCTGATTTGCTTCTTAAACCCATTCTTAAATGCAAACAAAGAACCAAAGATTCCTAGACATCATTTGAGAAGAACCTCCAAAATAAAAGAGAGAAACCAAAACAAACAGAAGAAAAAACCCAGAATAAACAGAGACTTGCAGGGAATAGAAAAGAAGCAATACAGAAAGGAATAAAGAAAGATCCCACATTCATGAAATAATACTGATGCTATACTTTTTTAAAATTTTTTAATTCATGGAATAAGCACAATTTTTTAGAAATTAAAAATATGAGAGAAGAAATTAAAAGTTCAATAGAAAGAATGAAAAATATAAATTGAGCAAATCTACTACAAAGTAGAAGAAAAAGACAAAGAGAAAGGCGAAATTACTGAAAGACAGGGGAAAAAAAAACAGAAAACATCAATGAAACAACACAAGAAATATAAGAAAATTTCTGAAATAAAAGACAATTATCCTGATTGAAAAGACCCACCAAATGCCCAGCACAGAGAGTGAAAAAAGAACCACATCAAAGCATGTGGTTGTAAAATTCCAAAGCAACAGCAGTAAAAGCAAAACCTGTAAAAGCTTCCAGAGAGAGAAAAAGAGAAAAGGACACACAGAGGGGATTGAAAAGCAGAATGGCACTAGACCTTTCAACCGCAACCCTGGAAGCTAGAAGGCAATGTAGCAAAGACATCAGTCATCAAATGACGCCAGAAATACTTCCGACCTGCACTGCTACCCCAGGCAGACTCCAATCCTCATCAAATGACGCCAAAAATACTTCCGACCTGCACTGCTACCCCAGGCAGACTCCAATCAAGCATGAGGTGTGATGAAGACACTTGCAGGCACACAAGGCAGACAAACGTTTACCCCTCGCATGCCCCTTTTGTCATCAAATGACGCCAGAAATACTTCCGACCTGCACTGCTACCCCAGGCAGACTCCAATCAAGCATGAGGCGTGATGAAGACACTTGCAGGCACACAAGGCAGACAAACGTTTACCCCTCGCATGCCCCTTTTCTCAAAAAGTTTTCAGAAGATGAACTGTAGGAGGGAATAAACCAAGAAATTCCCTGAAATGAGGGAGCAGCCCCAAAAGAAGATAACAGGGCATCTAGGAAACATGGGATCCAACAGACAAGGGACTTGCCAGGAGAAAGGCCCCAGAAGTAGCCATAAAGGAGGCCTGGAAAGCAAGCAGTCCTGACCGGAAGGTTGGTTACGTTTTCTTAAGTTTGCAGAAATACTGAAAGAGAAGAAATAATGAGGAAGAAAGTACAGTGAGAGAAAGGAGATAGGGCATCCGGAGGAGGAAGGAATCCAGGGAGGCAGAGTAAAGACTCTGGATCGTGCGTATCCACATCAGGCCTGGACAGAACCACAACAGCTCTTCCTCAGTGCAGGGAGGACAGAAGAGGATAAAAGGGCCGAAAAAGGTAGGTGAGGACGAAACACACCTTGTGGTTGGAGGATCAATACGTTGCTTGACAGTCTTTATTTTAGGGTGAGGTAGGGGTCCAAGGAAAATTGTGAATGTTTCTGAAGGTACCAGAAGAAAATGGTAAATTCATTTGATGAAGTAACTTTGATCTTAGAGCAGGGCTGTACACACACTGTCTTAATGGAGCATTTGTGCCCAGGCACTTCTCTGTGCTCCCACAATGCTTTACAACTCTTACCACATCATATTTATACTAGCACATTAAAGAACTGTGTTTTCACTAGACTGTGAATACTCAAGAACCATCTTACCCATGTTTATACAACCCACACTCTCCAAGGTGGCTGCCATGAAATGCACTTTTGTTGTATGCATATATAAACGTTTATTTCCAGAAATACAAAGGTATGTCAACACATCAATACACATGTACTACCTTAAAATGTTTTTTATATGCCACGACAGTCAGTATTCAATAATTTTACAATATACTTAAAAAACAATATATAATATCCCATCACAGAAAACCCCCCTAAAATCTGATTTAAGTTCAAATTTACACCTGAAACTGTACCTTTGCTTAGGTACACATAAAATCCAGAATCTCTTTTGGGAGATGCCCATACACTGACTAAACTCAGAAGAGCAGGGAAGACTACATGAATCTATGACTACCTTATGGACTCTAAATTAAAGTTCAGAAACATTCACAATGAATAAAAAATCCATGGCTGGAAATCAATACCTGCTTGCCTAATAATAAACCTAAAGATTTTATGGTTTGAAATATCAAACTTATCTATTCAGAATTAATTTGAGCACAATTGGTCTCTGTTTATCAAACGAGTCTTAATATTTCAGCATATTCTAATTTCACACTTTTTCCAAGAGGAAAGATAGTTACTATTTACTATGAAAAGCATGATATTAATGCTTAAAACTTTGCTTTCCTCTTCCCTACATTTAAGCCCAAAACCAATTTTCTTACAACATCTTATTGTGAATTACCCAACAGCTTTTCCACAAAACATTTCAGATCCATCTCAAATAAAAGCGAGAGCTCTGTTTGGCATCTAAATCTTTGGCTGAATTTAGAGGATGTTTTGAATGCTATTAGTCAAATTCTTCTTGTCATATTAATATAATAGAGAAAATTAACTTGAAAAGTCTATCTTGAATGCCAGATTATGTGAATAAACCCTAATCTTTAGTTCCATAAAGCAGTAAAACAGAATTATAATTATCTAAATGATATAAGCTAATCAACAATTAGGACAAAATGCAGACTGGTACAACTGCATAAACCTTTCTTCATATTCCACAAAGTATAAGTTGACTAAACAAGGTTGTTCCAACATCATATGCAGCAGAACAACCAACTGATATCTTCAAATTTTACCCTTTTATCCTTGGAATATTGTTTCAAAAAATAACTCCCCAAAAATGTATTTTATAAAGGTATTCTGAAAATACAGCTGTGTTACTTGTGCCTTTTAAGATCATACAAGTTAAATCAGAGCTCCACAGCTCCATGACGACTTCTAGTTTACAAGAGCACACAAACATATCTTCTGAAATACCTGATTTTGATTTCAGGATAACCTGAATGGTATGTCCGTCGTTGGTGACTTCACAGTCTCGACAGACCACATAATTTGGAGAGAGGCGGACATCCAGCAGTGAGGGGTCATATCTAGCTTCTCTTGAGTTTAGGTTAATAGGAGACTGGTATTCCCCATTAGCATCAGGAAACACCAAGCCCCATTCAACACCTAAGGACAGAATGAAATAGATTAAGAGCAGGTTAAAAAAAAATAAGTTGGTAAAATTTAACATGCAAAAACTAGCTTAAACACTTTTATGATCCTTGACATTATGAAAAGAATTATGCTTACCATCTTTATACAAGTGAAATATACTAAATGTGTGTGAATTTTTGCGTTCATTATTTGAATGATCTAATATTATCAAAATATTACCACGTACAGAATCCCGAACTAACAAAACATTCCATTTGTATTTGTCCACATAGATGTAATAATTTACAACTCTAGGAAATTTAGGTCATCTTTAAATGAATAGGAAAAATAATAACACACAAAATTTCCTTCGCTCACTAATTCCGTCATGTTCAATACTTGGGAAACAGCTGTAACTTTCCACATGCTTGGTGAGAGGCAAAAACCATAACTTTGAGGCTAGTGAATAAACGCCTCTTAGAAATGCAAATACAGTATATCAAGTGTGCATATGTGTATATATACATACATATATTCATACATATATAATATGTACTCCGCAAATTTTTTATAATTAAAATGGTATGTTCTGTATTTGTGTCAATGCACGTAGTAAACAGCAGCACTAATGGTTATCTCTGTTAAGAGCCCTACGGCTTCAGGGATAACTTCAGGAAACTAAGTCAACCCCTTCCCGCCAAGCCCACCGATGCAGCTTGAAATTTAGGGCATGTCTGAGAAAGAATTGAGCCTTGCTAGTGTCCTTCCCAAAACAAACCCTTTCTCCCACAGAGCTGGTTTCACCAATGCTGTCTTCTCACGGCGTTGAGTAAAGTGAACCGCTACTCAGAAGACGGAAAAGGCACAACCAGGGCTTGAAGGGTCGCCCTCGGAACGGCAGCAGTTGCGAACCGCCGCCCCAGCCCCGCCGCGGGCTCCCGGGCGCGAACGCAGGCGGCAGGCGAACGCAGGCGGCGGGCGCGCCTCCTGCCCCGAAACGTGCCAGGCGACTGGGAACGCGACGGAGAGCCCGGTGGGAAAGAGGGGACGTGGGGGTGCTCACGGCGAGCCACAAGCAGCAGAGCCCCGTGCCCGGGGAGTGAGCGGGGGGACG